ATACGCAATTCTCAACTTTTGGGTGTACGTACACTTTCAGGATTGATCCAACACAATAATAAATCCATTCATCCATACATCGTATTTAGTTCTTTAAGACTGAGAAATGGTTTTAGCCTTAAATCCCAGAAAGGTAAAAAACATAAAAAATTATTCACGGCCCCTAACAAGCACTGCACCATTGTATATGTGAGACTTGGTATTGTGAAGAACTACCATATTCTACTGGCTGAGTCTGACAAGCAGTGAGGCTAGTATTATAACCCTGAAGCATGCAGTGGCATGTTTAAATATCTGATTGAGACACTATATGCTTAAAAGTTAGTGTGCATATAGATTTGTTTGTTGGTGTGTAACTGTGCATGGGTGTCTTTATGTTTGCTGGAGGGAAACTAATTCCGTATAACGATGAGAAAAGCACATAGCTGTAATTTAATGCATCCTAAATGTCTGCAATTGTGTGTGTCTCTGTGTGAGTGTGCATGAACTGCTCTGTAAGAAAACCTACTTGTGCTAATATAAATGCGTAGCTACAAGCAAAAAACATGCACATGCTTTGTATGCATTTCTGTGTGTAGCTACGCATGTATCAATGTATGCAAAACTCGGCTGCTTAATGATAATGTATGTGATAATAGCATGGTGCTAATTAATTTATAACTTTGCACTGAGGAGGCTGTTCCAGTGGCTAATATGATTCTATTACAGCAATTAGCCCACAATGACACTGTCTAGGTCACTCACATACAGAAATGCACCTTACAGTATGCAGATCTAACCCTATCAGTGTTTCACCCAATCCAGCCCATGTTTCCAGCACCTCGTTTTCTTTTAGATTTTCTTTCTGCAAACAGAGCCAGCTACAAGAATTCAAAGAGACCTAAAAACAATTTTCGGTTTTGGTTCAGCAAACTCTCCTCGTCATCACCCAATCATATGTTGGACTTTGAACTTTGTCGTTAGGATCCTTACTTTTAAATTTCTTAGTTTTACTTGCAGTTTCCGTTTTGTCTTGGTTAGTCTGGTAATTTCTTTTCTGTATTTACTATTATTATCTGTCTCTCCAGTTTCAGGTTTTCTCTGTATCAATTATCTTTGTACAGTGTCAGTCCCTTTAGTTTCCTACGCCCTGTGTTTAGTTTTGTTCCACATTCACATCTTTATGGCCCTGTCACATCTTGCTGATTTAGCCAGCGTATGCCTGAAGTCCCAGAATCTTTAAAATGCTTGCATGCGCTGAACTTTCTATGTATTTTTTTAATTTTGGGCATATAAATAGCGTATTCATAGTTAGTCCAGAGCATATGTCCAACGACAGCCTTACTTATGCCTAACGTACGGCAGCGTAATCCCATGATATGTCACAAGCCAATGTCCTGAGGGGGCAGCAATGCTCTCGGAGGCACCTGGCCTGTATAAAAAGATTTATTTGATTGCGGTATTAATCTAGCTGCTGTTTCCTGCCCACAAAAAAAAAAAAGATTAGGTAAAAAGACAAAAAGGAAAAGAGAGCAAAAAGATTTGCAAAAAAAGGTATGCTCAAAATTTCTCGACATACTCGCCTTATGTCGAGGTGTACCAGCGTGCTTCAGCGTGCTCATGACTAACACAAAATGTACCCATAACTTACCCAACCTATGCCAGCGTTTTTGCCAGATTTTTGCTACGTCAGGCATATGCTGGTCTAAATCGTCAAGGTGTGACAGGGGCGTTAGTTCCCCTTTGACTTGAAGACTCGTTTTATCACTCAGGAGCTCAAACTACCCAAGTTTTGATCAAAATCACCATACATCAAAATTAAGTAAATTTTAAAGATCCAGCACATTAACAAAACAAAACTAAGTGTGCTTTCAAACAATTGTTGAGTCTATTTTCACATTTCTTAGGATTTATGTTATATGTATGAATTAAACCAAAATACCTAATCTGCCTTACCACTACTGAAAGATGACCAAAGGAACAGCATTGTGTTTGTCCCCCATACAATCTGCATCTCCTAAATGCTTTTTTTCCCCTTTTTTAAAATATCAGATTTTGCATCATTTCTTTGCACTTCAGCTGGATCTAAATTTCCATCCCTCTTTGGGAAATAACTGTAGATCATTTTAGACTTACAAATGCATCTAAGAGTACTTACGATCCTCAGCTGTACATAGGGTTGCCCAAGGCCCCACCGTCTGTCCATGGGAATGTGAAACCACCACTCGGAACAGGTAGTTGGTGAATGGTGACAAACCCTCAACATTATAGGAGCGAGTTTCTGTTGCATTTTCCAGAAGCCTAAAAAAAAGGATTGGGGGGAATAAAAACAAAATTTTTATCAACATGTTTTTTTAATTTAATAAACATAAAAGATGTTAAAGAGAGAAGCTTCAAAAAAGCAGCCTTTTAACCAGTAGAATTACATCAATGTTTACATTATTTCTTGATTTATTTTTTCTTAAAAAATTGCACGAAAGAGTTAAAAAATGTAATGTTCATGAGTACAAAAAGTCTACTGACATTGTAGGTTTCTGCATAAGTAGTCCTTCAAGCACAACATTTTAAATAAATCCTACTGATAATTGGCATTCAACTTTATGTCTTATTTGAAAAAAATTAAGATTGAGCAAATGGTTATGACTATTAGTTAAATTTCTTCTATATAATTCAGTTTAGCACCTTCTTAAACAATTTTAATATTTTGTACGCTATTAGAAAGAAACTGTTTTGTTTTTAATGACCACTTCACACAGTTCAGGTTAAGAAATCTAGCAATGCAAAATGTTTAATACCTGATCTCATATAGTAGAGCCACACAAAGGAATGTAGGACAAAGTAAAAGAAAACTGTCATAAATGAGACACCATTGACCATTTACCATCAGATGGATGGAGGAAATGAATGAATGAATAAATCAGGTAACAATGAGATTTCCATAGCAGAGGAGGAGGAGGAGGGCATGACTGTCTGATATATAATACATGTAGCTAGTCATTTATTTATTACCACAGAATGAGAGCCTCCTCTTCTTGGATTAAATTGCAATTTGTTGTCAGGAAGCATGTAATGAATACATATCAGATTCACACCTTCTCCCTCTTTATTCTGTCCCAATTTCTCAACCTCACTCTTCTTCCTTCAATGCCTGTCATTATTTCTTTTGTTTTTTTAGCTCTTAGTTTTAGTTTCTATAGTCTGTTATATTCACACATGACATGTTCTGCTTTGGTGCTTAATTTACAGATTTTGTGTACGTGCATCTGTATGTATTTATATCTTTAAAAAAAACATAAGAGTTGTGTGTTCTGGCCTACTTGTAACTTAGAGTTGAGTAGCTAGTATGACAAAAACTAGTCAGATGCCAGCTCATTAATATTGTATACCACTTCTTTGATATATTGATATCCAATCACAAAGCTAAGATTTAATGCATTTAGACACCAAGATGTGGCAAAGTTGACTTTCTGAAGTTCAAACCAAGCATCTATATGTGAGTTAAAGGTATTGTGGAGGATTTTCGTGTTTTTATAAAAGACCCGCCCTCTACACTTAAAAAAAAAATTACACATGCACAACCCTGTACCAGCTCCCAAGAGGGAACGTCTCGCACGCAATTAACAGAGCCATTTAGAGGTCAAATGTTTCTCAGCTCTACTTAATTAAAATATGAATTTAGCCATTTAGAAAAAATACTAAGAATGTACTATTCCTGCTAATGGTGTCTATATCTATTTAATAACTGATTAAAATACAGTCATATCAAAAAGTTTGGGTGTTTGCAACAGCTATTTCAGTTTGATATATCTAATAACTGATGGACACAGTAATATTTCAGTACTGAATTGAGGTTTATTGGACTAACAGAAAATGCGCAATATGCATTAAAACAAAACTTGACAGGTGCAAAAATTTGGGTGACCTTTTTATTTTATTGATTTAAATGCCCTTAACTACTTTTCACTGACTTACTGAAACACAAAATTGGTTTGGTAACTTCATTAAGATTTGAACTTTATAGCTAGGTGTATCCAATCATGAGTAAATGTATTTAAGGTGGCCAGTTGCAAGTTGTTCTCCTGTTTGAATCTCCTCTGAAGATTCATCATGGGCATCTCAAAACAACTCTCAAATGATCTGAAAACAAAGATTGTTCAACATAGTCGTTCAGGGTAAGGATACAAAAGTTGTCTCAGAGATTTAAACTGTGAGTTTCCACTGTGAGGAACACAGTAAGGAAATGGAAGAACACAGGGACAGTTCTTGTTAATCCCAAAAGTGGCAGGCCAAGAAAAATATCAGAGATGCAGAGGAGAAGAATGGTGAGAATGGTCAAAGACAACTCACAGACCACCTCCAAAGACCTGCAGAATCATCTTGGTGCAGATGATGTCACTGTGCATCGTTCAACAACTCAGCGCACTGCACAAGGAGAAGCTGTATGGGAGAGTGATGCGACAGAAGCATTTTCTGCAAGCACGCTACAAACAGAATCACTTGAGGTATGCAAAAGCACATATGGACAAGCCAGCTTCATATTCGGAATAAGGTCATGTGGACTGGTGAAACAGTGATTGAGTTGTTTGGTCATTAAAAAAGGCATTATGCCTGGTGGCCAAAAAACACAGCGTTTCAAGAAAAACACTTGCTACCCAATGTAAAATTTGGTGGAGGTTCCATCATGCTTTGGGGCTGCGTTGCCAATGCTGGCACTGGGAAACTTGTTAAAGTCGAGGTTCACATGGATTCCACTCAATATCAGCAGATTCTTGAGTATAATATTCAGTTACAAAGTTGAAATTATGCCCGGCCTAAATATTTCAGCAAGACAACGATCCAAAACACAGCTCCAAATCTACTCAGGCATTCATGCAGAGGAACAATTACAATGTTTGGAATGGCCATCCCAATCCCCAGAACTGAATATCATTGAATATCTGTGGGATGATTTGAAGAATGCTGTCCATGCTTGGCGACCATCAAACTGGAATTGTTTTGTAAAGAGGAATGGTCAAAAATCCCTTCATCCAGGATTCAGGAACTCATTAAAAACTACAGGAAGCGACTAGAGGTTGTTGTTTCTGCAAAAGGAGGACTAAATATTAATGTCTCTTTTTTGCTTTTTTGCTGAGGTTCCCATATTTTTGCACCTGTCAAATTTTGTTTTAATGCTTACTGCACATTTTCTGTTAGTACAATAAACCTCAATGCAATACTGAAATATTACTGTGTTCATCGTTTATTAGATATATCAAACTTAAATAGTTGTTGCAAACATCCAATTGTTTAGAAATAAAAATAATTTAAATTAATAGGGGTGCCCAAACTTTTTCATATGACTGTAAAACATAAATATTTCGGTGAATTTTATGTTTTGTTTTACCTTATGATAGAGTTCTGCGGAGATGTTCTCATTTGCAAACTGTACAGGAGAGGTCCCGGGGCGTTAGACTTGACAGGTGCAGACCACGATACATTTAGACTGGTGCTGGATGCATCGACTAAAGTCGGAGGTGACAATCCATCTGGGGCTAAAAAAAACAACATTTTTAATAAGTGAAAACTGATTTTTGTTTACATATGAAGAAAGGAAAGGTTGAAAAAAAACAGAATAAGGACAACTAGTCTGACGAGACTGTTGGCTTTGGAATGAGAGCAGGTCCTCTTTTGACTAAAGTGACCCTTCAATCAAACATGACTCTCTAGCTACAACAAGACTGATTGCTGAAGATCTCTTACTGCTAAAGCCAGATTACAGAAATAGATTCTACAATGCAATGCTAGAAGCTCAGCCGTTGCAGCAGTTAAACAATATCAATGATCATTTCATGTTTGCATGGATTTGGATGCTTATCTAAGAATTTTTGTCAATTCTGGTGGCTTGCACTACAGCAATCTGTAGTTAGAGTGCTTATTTTTTTTATGCACATGGAGGCCAACCACTCTCGACGGATAAACAAATCAATGACCTACCCATGATTGTCCTGGATTGTTGGAGTTTGTTGTTTGGTACTAATTGTGTATGCATCATGATAATGCTGCTTAAAAAATTCCTTTGGAATGAGTTTTAGGACTTTAGAGGCTCCAGAACAGGTATCGCAGTACTCCCTCTGCACATTTTAGTTTTTTCTCTTTTAACATAACACCTGAACTAAAGGTGAGTGGTGGTGTGTGTGCAGTCTGCTGTAGTGAGGGTGGCTCCAACTGCCTAGAATGAAAAGCCCTAGAATGAAACGACAGATTTTCTTCCTTTTAAGGTATGCTCATGAATATTTAGCTGTGAGCTGATTGGTTGGTTTACAACAAGCAAAGCTGCCGAGCAAAGACGCATCATAGCAACAAGCACTCACTCACTGAAACATTGAATTTGTTGATCTGGTAGGGTGATCAGATGTCCTCTTTTTTCCTGGACATGTCCTACTTTTCATACCTAAGAAAATGTCCAGGGGGAATTTGAAAATCATCCGGGATTTTGGTCGACTACAGTGCAGCACGTAGGCGAAACGCAGCGGGCATTCGAACCGAGCCATCAGCTCCGGAGCTGGTCCCGGGAACCCTGGCGAACAGGGGCAGGGAGCCAGCTGGGGACAAAGCAGCTGAACCGGTGACGGTAGCCTGGACACCGGTGGCCCCATGCTTCCCCCCGCCTGCCTTACCGGCCCCCAGCCCCCCTCCTCTGGCTGAGGACGGGTGGCTCAAGGCTCATGGCTAAGGTATGGTCCAGTCAGCGGCCCAACAGTCGACAGTTCATACCCCAAACAACCGCCCTCCCCACCCATGTGGCAAAAAAAACAGGCTAGAACCAAATAAGGCAACACCCCCGTGTATATGTCAACTTGAGGCTTTGTTTGGATTTGCCTGTTTTATGGTGGAAATTAGAATTATAAGATTTGCAAAGAAAGGAGGTGTCGATGGGGTTTAAACTTCTCTGTACGTCCATTTCATCCACTGAACTATAGTTATTCATCTATGACAATGTAAACTCGGTTTTGCATTTTATGACCCTTTTAAGACAGCAGGTTTTCAACTACAGGTTGCTTTAGTGCAAGCATTTCAAACATTTTTAGATAACTAAAACCAATGCCAGTTCCCCTTTATTGAGACCCACCAATTTCTCTTTCTCTTTCAAGAAATCAGATTTCAGACATAATTTGTGCCTACAGCTGACGCCTTGCCTGTAGATGAGGAATTACTGTGGTTTTACAAGCCAAATGCTGTTAAATGTACTTCAGTTTTATTCAGGCTGTTCTCTGTAACATGTTTTTACAGCTGAAGTAATATTTGATATTTTCAGAGTACTCCTTTATGTTCTCGTTATCTCTTTCAGAGGGATCCACATGCAGATGAAGGTTCATTTCCCTCAGTGTCCAACCTTTATTCATGACAAGGAATGTTTCATGTCTTCTTACAAATGCACACACACATATATATATGCACACATAAGAGCAAAGTCCCAAAGAGACACGCACACACCTATACTGTTGAGCCTGTGTCTTTCTCATGCTGTGTTAGCAGGTACAATATCAGAGGTGTCACTAATCGTTTTAAACTATGCACTTTTATGTTCACTTCTTTCTCTCTGCTCTCCTCCTACTCTGCTCCTCTGTCTCTTGCTTGGCTATCTTTTCTCTGTTCTTTCATGAAACAAGGACGCATCAAGACAGTTTGCCTTAAAGAAGTCTAAAGAGATGCCAGAGGCACAGAGGTAGAAAGAGAGATGGAAAGAGAGGAAACGTCTTGTATTTAAAATTTATACTTCCTTATGCCTTTGTTTTGAACTTGAACAGCAGAACTTTCTTAAGTCTGTCTTTTGTTGTTTCAGAAGACATGGGAGGAAAAAGGAAGAATTCAATGTGTTCAGCAGAACTGGAAACTTTTTATTTAAAGGTTTGTGTACTGCTACTTATTTAGCATCTAATTTAGACCGTCAAAACAAACATGCATCAGTTTGTGTAGTTTTTTATGCTTTCTGTGTTTTTATAATGGCCATTATCCCAATAATAAGGTGTCTTATTTTTTAAGATTAAGTATCTCAAAACTTTTTAGCAACTCTTTAGATTTGATCTCAGTCTAGTCAGAGATACATAGTCGTAAAATAACCTTTTGAGATGTAGTTATGATTTCTACATCTGATGCTGCATTCACACCGAGTGTAAACACACATGCACACACCCATATCTGTGGTTTAAATGGTACATTTAGTTATTTAATGGTCATTTACAGGTATATTTATTTCATAGGCCATTGGCATTTTTATTAATTTAATTCTATATTTATTCATGTTATTTTTTTCCTTTTTGCCCCTCCATATACCTCGGCCTGTAGGCACTAGAACTCTCAAGGCACAGGTCATTTTGACGGTTCTGAGATTTTGAAGTAAAAGAACTTTAATAACATTAATCTTATGTTGGTCATGTTAATTGACTTTTTCTGTTTCTATATTTCCTTTATTTTCACTCTGTTTATTAGAAAAAAAAAATAAAACATCAACTGGGCAACTATAAAGTGCTGATACTGCCATCTACACTTAATAGAATCCCTTATAAAGATGTCATAGTTCTTTCCCTGAGAGTGTCTACCTGCTGGAGGTGTAGTGAGGTTGAGTGGCAGGCTCTCAACACAACCCTGTGTGTTACATCCTCTGATCCAGAAGCTGTAGTTTTTGTAGGGCTCTAGGTCAGATACAGACAACCAAATGCCTGCTGCTGATCCCCCGTCCAACACACCATGACCATCTAACAAATAAAAAAAACACAGAAAGAGAGGTCTTTAAATCTTATGAAGGGAAACCTCTGTTTAAAAATGCACAGCCTCATCAGAAAACATCCCTCGGGTAAACAGGGAGGGAATGGGAGCTATACACAATCTTTGAAAGTGATCAAGAAAGAGATTATTTAGAGATCGTTAGATAAATATAAAATAAAACTATGAGTCTCATTACTATGTCGGAGATGGCACACACAATGTTCAATGTTCAGCTCTACCTGATCCAGTGAAGGAAGTTTACTTTAAAAATGCAGCAATGAAACAAATCATACCTCTTTTATTTCCAAACATTTTTATGCTTTTCTCCATTTACTAACGCTGCTTTTTCTGAGAGGCACTGATCAAAGATACTTTCTTTCATTGTCAGAGATGCAAGATATATCTTTGAAATCTTTCAGTCTATTCTTTCAGTGTCCAATGCTTGTTTATTTATCACTATGAATTTTGCATTTCTATTATATCATACTTTAAATGCAATCACTCTATCCTTTCTTATGTCATGAAAATATTTGTAGTATTAAAATGATTGCACGATACTTTGTTGCTTTTACCTGCCAGGCTTTTGTTCTTCGTTCCTAGATCTTGTTTGACCTAAAGTCACAATCTATATCAAAATACTTCAAAATACTTTGACACTAGTCTGTTTTGATTACTTCTTCTTACACTGTTCTATTTGGTGTTACTTTATAAGTCTCCTTTGCTGGTTGGGAATCACTGGGTGTATTTGTGTGTACATTTCAGCCTGTCTGATGTGCTAATCTTTAAAAAACTACTGTATAACAAAAGTACTGAGTGCTTTTAAAACTGGATATAACAGTGCTCTCACAGGAAATCAGCAAGTGATGTAGTTCTATATAGCTGCAGGAAAATGCATCTCAGCTGTTATCATTGTAAGGGTCACATATACAGTACCTCAACAAAGATTTCAAACACCTTATTGTTTTTCAAACTTTGTCATGCTTTCACTACACACCTCAATGTATATTAAAATATATTCAAGAGCAACACCAAAAAAGTAATGCGATTATGATGAAAAAATTGTAAATAAACAGGATCTTAAAAGATAACATGCATATATGTTTATAAATAACCAATAAATTAAATCTATGCAACCAAGTGCATTCATATTTCATACAATCAATAGATTCCTCCTGTGTGTAATTTTGTTGCAGTATACATATCACTACTCTGTGCAGACTTAAGGTGTTTGTAGAAGAATGCAAAGATTAAAAGAATCATGAGGACCTATGAATAAACCAGACCAGTCAGGGATACATTTTCAGAGAAGTAAAGAAGAGTTAGCATATAAAATATCACACTGCAGAGCACCATTAAATACATCATTTGGAAACAGAATGAGGCCCATTTGGAAAACCTATAAAATATTAGCAACAACAACTGAAAGGCCAGAAAAAAAATCATTTAGAGAAGCAAAGAGGCCCATAGTAACTCTAGAATAGCTGCAGAGAAATCCAGAGATGCTGAGTTTAAATCTGTAAGATGACTAAACATTAAGTTTAAACTCTAAAAAATAAGGAATTATGGAAAGGTGGAAAAAAAGGAAGCTCATGTTAAAAAACAAAGCTTGTAAAAAATGTGCAGTTTGCTGTAAGCCATGTTAGCGGAACAGCAAATATGTGGAAGAAGATGCCTTGGTCAGAAATGACGTTTATACCAAACGTAAAAATGTCTTTGTAGAATTTGAAAAGACATCCTTTATGCTATTAACACAAAGTTCAAAATTACTTCTTATCCGTGTGGCAGTAAAGTATATCAATAAAAATCCTGCAGAAATGTTTTTGTGAAACAGTGCACAGTGTTTTGAAGTACAAGAGTAACAATAAAAAAGCTAAAAAAAATCTATTTTTTAAATCTGATATTGCTGGGGGATTATAACATATTCAAAAGACTCCTTAGACTAACACATGCTGTACTTTTCTGTGAGATGAGTAAAACAAAACAAAAAAAATCATGTTTAACCTTTGCTTTTGTAGTACAGTTTGTAGTGGATGTTTCCATTTGGTCTAGGAGGGGAAGTCCAACGGGCTCGGAGAGATCTAGAACTCTGATTGGTCAACTCCAGAAGTATAGGGCCTTCTGGGGCCATCTCCAAAGTATGTGCCTCCACCTGAGTTAAAGAGAAAGAAAAAAAACACATATACAGGTCACTTACATTGGTGCATGCTTATCATTTTGTTGATATGTGATGTTCTAACATGAATTCTCTGGTAAAGACAGTCATACATTAACTCAGCCCTTACTTTTATATCTTTCACACTTCTTTCTCCACTCCCATCATTCTCATTTAAATCTTATTCTCAACACCTTAATCCTCATCTTCTTGTCATACTCTTGTAGCTTTTTTTTCTCCTCTAAATTATCTCTTCCCATCCTCCTATTCTTCTCTTCTGCAGTGTCAGCCATTTCTTCTGGTGTTTGACAAATCGTGGCGCCCGTATTGGAAATATGCCTTAGAATTTGGCCTGTCGTCAGACACGTTGTTGAGAATGGAGTGGCATTTCCCACCAAATGTCACAGTCACCACGCAACCCTCGTTATTGAGCTGAGAGAATCGATCACCTTTATGAGGCACAGTGACACACTGGCACACACAATCACTTTGTAGATGTCTAAGTGGATTCCTTCATGGTGTATCTATGTTTTTCTTTTCTTACAGCAGTATTGTGCTCTCTGAAAATCTGCTTTGCTGTATTAGCAGTTTAGTTTCACCCTCTGATGGAAGATTATTAAGCAAGTAAAGGATTTTATGGAGCATTCACTGCTCTAAATCTCAAGTGCTGGTTTGAGAGTTGTATTGAATATTGTAGAACTGGACTTTAATGAACTCTGTAAGCCTTGTAAAGAAAAAAATCCTTAGCACTTCAAAGAATTTAAAAAAAGAGACCTTGCAAAGTCGTATCCTCATTACAGCTCCTTACAGAATAAGAATGTTTTTTTAATTCTAGGCCCTATAAAAGCTTAGAAGCAAAAAGTTTCACTGACCATTGGTCCTTTGCCACAGCCCTGTGCTGTGCATGCCTGCAGTCTAATAACATGACGGCTCCAAGGAGAAAGTCCTTCCACTACGAAGAACTCCTGTGAGGAACTGGAGTTAAAAACAAGAACTCCATCCATCCAGAGACCGTAGCTTGTTATAACACCTGTGAAAAGAAAACATGTTATCATAAAATTTATTAGGAAAATAAAATGCATCCATCCAACAAAGTCAGTCCATCCATTTATCCATCTATGGGGTAACTTATTAAAGGGGAGAACCAAGACACAATCCATCTTCAAACTAATGTTTTCCCAAGGTCAGAAGCAAAACAGTCCCTCCGGGATTTTGAAGGTTTCATCCCAATGGGTGTGCATGGAAAACCTCAAATGGGAGAGGCCCAGGAGAAATGTTTTTCAATTGGCTGAAATATCTTAGCTGACTACGTTCTTTAGCCAGGATCGGTGGCTCTACTCTGAGCTCTGTGCAAGAAGCAAATGATGGCCTCTTCTGCCCAGGATCACGATCTTTTGATGAAGATCCATATCTTATACTGTAGCAGAAGGGGAAGATTGGGAGCATAGACAGACTAATTAATGAAATTTTACTTTGTCAGCCACTTCTTGACAATGACAATTGCGCTGTCATTGTGACAATAGTGACAAGGCCTCCTTCAAACAAAGCCTTAATATGCCTTTCCAAAAGCTTATCTTGTATCTAGCATCAACAAATTTAGCCCAAAACCAGATCGAACAGTCAACTATTTTCTGGTTACAAACCATGAAGTTTTGCTTTGAGTAGTTAACTCTCATCCTATTTATTTTAATACTTGTGATTTACTTCCTAACTCGCGAGAGGTACAGTCTATATTAAATGTTATAACATGAAGATAATAACAGAATCACATCCTCTGCAAAAAGTAAACTTAAGGCCTTAAGATGGCCAAAATTGAAAGCCTGCTCCAAATGAAAGCATCCTGAGGTCTTCTTCATGAAGACAAAAACAGTACCAGAGACAAGGGGGAAGCATAGCGGAGAGTTAGAACCATCTTAAGAATGTAGACTGCTCTTTTGGGAATATAAGAACCAGACAGTCTTTGATATCATCTTTAAAACAGAAAACAACGGCAACACTTTTATGAAATTTCTAGGAAGACTAAGCTGTAAGCCCATTTACTGATTTACCGAACGAATATCAGCAGCAAAGATCTTCAGTAGCCGTTCTAAGATACAAATGCTCCATGTTTTAACAGCCAGCAGGAAAGCCACAGTGATCTGCTAAATTTGATGTTTTCGGTATCCATTTCGTTTAAAAAACATCCTACAGCGGATCCAGAGAAGCTAATAACTGTTATTGTTTGGTAGTTGGAAAACTTTCCTTAAGTACAGTACTACCTCCATTGTCTGCCACTTCATAGAAGAAAACTTTTAACACTTCAAAATCAAAATTTGAAGCAAAATTATTCCACTTAATTAAAATGTAACTAAATTTTTATTTTACAAATATATCTCTGTATAACAAAACTTAAACATAATTTAATCTCTTAACAACAGACTTCCACTGATGTTTTCTAGTTCCACTCATTGGTACAGGCCCTTTACCATACTGTATATCCATGCTGCAAGAATTAAGCTCAAAGCTTGGCTTTCCAATGTTGCAATGCATTCTGTTTCACTGTATATGCAAATGAAAACTGACTTTGAGGCTCCAGGCCTGCCAGTCAGTGTCCTACAGATGAAAACAGTACTGAAATGACAATTGTAACCAAAGGCATTACACAGAATGAAGGCCCATAGAAGGACAGTGGCAAAAAAATGAAAAGGCACAAACTAAAATGAACCAATAGGAGTGAAGATGGAAACACATTCACAGACACACATCGATAGACTATGCAGGCAGCCAAAGATCTGCACATTTAATAACAAGCCATACCTCAAACACATAATAATTATGTGACATTACATCCACCTAATAAAAAAATGAAACAGTACGGTACCAAATGTGCTTTTCCTTAATAAAAATGCATACAGGAGGCTCAAAAGATCAGTGCTAAGAACTAAGGGTCTATTCTACTTTAATCAGGTGTGGGTTTTATTATTGCTCAATACAGATATACACACCTATCACTAAAATGAAGACACAAAAACCCTATGGATGCAAGTTATCTGGAAGCTCTTAATGTGGCCAATCACATGCATGTGAGTGTGTCTGTGAATGTGTGTGGAGCACTGTATGTGCTTATGTGCGTGAATAAGCTCATATCAGTATAGGCTGTAATAAAGACAGGTTGGGAAATGAAGCAGCGAATGCATAACAGGCTTATTTCCCCTCTTTGTCTGCGTGTTGCCCCGACCTAATCCCCGAGAGGATTATCCCCCACAAATCCCTGCGGAATTGCGGAGAAAGGAGGGGGAAGACCGCGAGAAAATAACACAGGATATCACTCTGTAACCCATCATTATGCCGTTGATTTAATAAAAAAATATTGGGAAAGAGATCTAAGCATTTTTTCCCCTTTTTTAAGAAGGAAAAGCACACAGCTTTTTAAGAATAGGATAATACGGTAATCATTTTTGCATTTTTTTTTATTTTTGTCATCAGATCAGAGAAGCTTTAAGACAATTTATCCTGGTTAATATGCACACACATCACAGGGTTTATGACGCAAAACGCCCTAATATGGGATTGGGTATAAAACACACAGGGCTCACATCACATACACATTACTGAATTGCTCAGCAAGCATGACATTAACATTTGATAATTTGTAGCACCTTCACAAACTTTATGTTTAGTCTGTTAAATGGGACGGAAAAGATGGTTAAATGCTTAGATGGTTTTTAACTATTAATCAGATTTACTGAAATGCTATTGTTAATAAAGTCCTTTGGAATTTATTATATTGTTATTAGTGTTGACTTCAACATTTAATGACTGTTGTGAATCAGGAATCTCATCTGAAATTTATGCAGACACAGAAAAGGTAATTTTGCTTTAAGAATCAAACTTTATTCCACCTTTTCTCCTTACTCTAGCAAACAGTTATAAAATGATTATCACCTACTGATCTATTTGAATGAAGGTCGTCTTCATCTAGAGTTGACTAACAGTTCATGGCTTTTTTTCTTTTCCTTACACAACTTTGAATACAGAAACGGCAACATACAAGTTCAAACTGAAAAAGAAATATGGTCATGAAAAGCTATGAAATAAGCCTTAGTATAACCCTATTGACATTTTATTGTAGCTCTTTTTATTATTTTGAAAAACATTAGCTGAATTTAACAAGATTTATAGGATTAAGAATGAGGATGCCGGACAGTGCAATATATGGGCCTCTAGCCTGCAGTTCTCTTTTCAGTCAAAAGGGAGCACTTTTCATCCACTTAAAGGATCCTGGTGACGCTCTCTCCTCTTCATCCGACTCCCATTTTATACTAAATTCAAACAGTTTTATTAAACTGTTTTTTTCTGCCTTTTTTCAACTTGAGATTTCTCAGAAACAAGGGAAAGCCTCTCCCAATATTAATTTTATTTTATGTCTACCATTTTTTTTCTTTATTCCATGTAATTCCTCACACAGGATTCCTGTTCTTTAAGCATAGTTTTTAGTCTTCCACTTCTTCTTTAAGGTGCCCGAGTAACAGCGATACATTTAAAAAAATACTGATTAACTTTTGTGAGAGCTCTGCTTAATCAGCCAATAGTTATATGTTTTAGTTTTGGCTGTTTGTACGTCTTCTCACCATTAGGAGTCTCAGGAGGGGTCCAGCTAATGTTCAGTGAATGTGGGGACAGGGGGATGACCAGCGGTGCAGGAACGTTTTCTGGGGTACTCTCCTCTGTCTGAATTTGGCTTGGGGGGCTTTTGGTGCACCCACCTCCTGTGCAGGCCTATTAAGCAAACACAAACACACACATATGGATATACAACTATGAAAATATAAGTTAAAAACTACAAATTCTGAGAATGACCCACAGCCACGGTGACGGAGTAGGATGTTCCTGGAGTTAGGCTGCGAAGTGTGTGCTCTTCAGTAAGTTCTGAGCTGTTAAAAGCAAGCATGGGCTCAGAACCATCTTGTGACAGAAAGACGGAGTAGGACTTCAAAACGCCATTTATCTGTGAGGGACGTGACCACCTGGAAATGGAGCAAAGTAAAAGAAAATTAAACAAGATAATTAGATTAATAATCTGTTTTTATGTATTATAATTTGTTGTGCTGTTTTCAGCTCTCTTACGTTAAACATAACATAAGGTAGTTCAGTGTTTTTTTGTTGTTGTTTTTTTAAACAAAGAAAGCAAAGTTGTAGTTTCTTATATTTATTGTCTCAAAAGAAAAAAAAAAATACTGTTATCTTTTTGGGTTGGGGCTTGCGTTCATGGCTAGGGTGTGAACTGAGTTTAGGCTAGAAATAAGTTAGGGGGGAGGGTCTGGTTAAGGTCAATGTAAAATAAATGGAAGTCAATGCAAAGTTCTAAAGGGAAGCCGGTTAACTTGTGTGTTTATCAATATGTCTGTTACTTGTCCACAAATGCAAGTTTAACAACATCATGCATACTCAGCACCTTACCAAGAAAACGCTGGCTTCTATAAACCCAAACCCTGCAGAGGCCCAGGAACAGACTAAAGAAACATCCAAATACCCTGAACCCCAAAATCACAAACATGTAGGGCTCAGCATGAGTGTTTGATGATTTATCAAGTTACTTTTTTCCACTTTTTCTCACCCCCCTCACAACCTATCTCATCTACTCATTAATGCACCTGTCTTGTATTACAGTAACACACAATAGTGTCTGTGATTTACTTCTTTAGATAATCCCCTGGACTTTCTTAACTAGTTGCTCCCTTTCTGTATTTGGTCTCCATACCAAAGCTTGTTGGCCCTGGTCAGGATAATGACCTGAATGGTTAGAAATGGGAGAAAGATATAAAAAGCAAAACTACTTAATATTAAAAATATATAAAAAAGAAGAAATTATAACAGTTTTTGAAGGAAAAGCTGAGCAAGCAAGTGGTGGTAAACGTGTTGCAACGAGTCCTGCTATAAACAACTGTGATGTAGAAGTTTTTTTTAAGAAAAGGAAGTATTTAACTCTGACTTTTTTACTTTCTTTCCTTTACAATCAATCCTCATGCATATCTACTTATTTGACTTTTCTTCTACTTTTCCAAGTCTTCTCTTTTTGTCTTATTTTTTGTTTGCCCCACTCCTTAATCTTTCTCTTTCTAAGCTTCTCCTAAAGCGTCTGGATTGCTGCTGATAAAATATAGTGTTTTAACCTCTTCCTATTACCAATGTGTGAACAAGGCAACACACAGCCTTTGCACACCTGGTGAGCATGTTGTCCTGAATATTTCAAGGGCTCAAGACACAGGTGCTTAACAAGCAGGAAAACACTAGTGGACAGATGCAAGACTGAACGTTTACAGGAAACTGCTATTGCCCCACAGCAGATTTCAAATGTTATTCATGTTGATTTGTGAATTTCTCAATCACATTTATGCTGGCTTTATTTAATCAACTTTGTAACACCTTTAATGTCAAGGCCCAATCATTAAAACTTTAAATCAAAAGATTTATGGAAAGATCATTTGGAAAAGAAACTTGTTTTTTATGAGAGACAGACTTTGGGCTAACGGCAAACGTTCAGGAATGCCGATATTGCCATTAGGAGTAAATTAATATAAAGGCTATATTTTTCAGTTTCAATACAACTAAGCCACAGGAATGTGTTGCTTCTATACTCTGAGACTGTTTAGCTATTTTACCAACAGCTGCAGCAAATATTGAAATAAAAGAGGTAGGCAGATGCCATTTTTACCAAACCAGTTTCAGTGCTTTACTGGAGCTATAGGTTGATCAGCTTCAGCGACAATGATCACATTATACTAGGACTAAAAGTAGTTTTAAGTGGGGTCATTTTAGTAAAAATATTATATGATTTTTCTAATAGACTGTTATCTTTATAAAAGCTTTTCAGAAAGCATCCTTTCCCTTAAGCAGAGAAGATGGTGAAAATAAGGTGGTAGTGAGATACAAAACATAATCACTGGAATAAATAAGCACATGAATAGTACAATTATATGGAGCCAAGATAAACTTTATCAACCCTTTAAGGGGGATTTATTTTTTTAGCAACTAATGTGATAGATGCTGGAGTTCGGCCTGTTTTCCAGTGTGGTCCTGTTTCTCTGACCGTGACTGAGTGGATGTGCTCTCTTTGTCCTCTGGCATGGGAGCTGGCTCGGAGCTCGTCTGCCTGGCTGTGTGTTTCTTGAATGGGGCCGCCTTTTACAG